GCCATTACTTTTCCTTTATATCCGCTTTTTGAAATATCAAACAAGATAATTAAGAGATAGGATGAAGATTTTAGTGCAGAATAACACTTTTAGTAGGTAAATAGTGAATATTCATAGATGTCTGTTCATCAGACCAAAAAGAGGAACAACTGAGGATTGCTTCCAATGAGGGTCAGTTGGAAGGTTCCTTTTGTGTGATTGACAGTGGTTACTGGGCATTCACCTGCCTGTGTGCAAGGACATCAGGGGCTGACTGCCCCTTCACCATATGTATAGGTGTATATAACAGGAAAATTCCTATCATACTTACCGTCATTTTCCTTTTCTGACATGCTCCATTTTTCGGTTCTGCTCGGTCCCACAGAGGGAGCGAGCAGAACAGCCGAGCTGAATGCTGCTTAGCGGCATTCAGCTATTCACTCACTGCTGTTCGGCATCTATAAGAATAGACCGAACAGCAGCGAGTAGCCTGCCGGAGGTTCGGTTTAGCCGATCCAGATGTTGGATCGGCTGAGTCTAACTCCTTCTGCACTTCGGGTCGGCCGAACATGCTGAGCATGTTCGGCCGACCCGAAGCCGTGCGAAGCCACCCGATGTACGGCTGATTTCAACCGATATACGGCTGAAATCAGCCGTACCAGCCTGAAGTGAATAGCCGAACAGCGTTCGGCTCACCTCGCTTCAGGTCAGTCATTCAATCGGCTGCCTACGGCAGCTTAGTGAATAGACCCCTAAGTATTAAGTTTGTTCTTCTTTGGAAAAAAATTAATTCTTATCCAGCACACTGCTTATCTCCTAATAAAACTGTGCTAAGGAACTTTGGATACTTTCATTGCTGACCTGCCTGTCTGAAAATACTAGTCTCCTGGTAGTCATGCTTATTCAGGGGCTTCACTGCTTTCTATGTCCCAGAAAAAGCATGCAGATTAGAAGTCCTGACTCTACTCTGACTTCCCCGATTTGCATGATTGTTTCTAGTCAGTGTCCCAGAAAGTCTTGGAGCTGTTGGATCAGGAACTAGTATTTCCAAAAAGTCAGCAATAGCCAGCTCCAGATTAGACTTTAAAAAGGATTGTTCCATCACCTTTTGATTGTTTTTTTTCAGTATGAACTATAGAGTAAATCCAGGAAGGTAGCCTGTAATCTGTCAGGTGTGACTGTGTTTAATGGGCCAATCGTAGTGAATACATTTCAACAAGAGAACAAAAGGTTGGTGGATCATTTTTCTAGGAAATGTTATATGTTGACAGGTTTTGGCTTGTTAACCCTTAATCCAAGTTATCTGCAGGCTTTGTATATTGTGTTCAAAAATATCCATGCATTTTTAAGATTTTCACAATTAAAGTGGACCTGAATTTAAAAAAGTTAAGATTTGTCATCTTATAGGGAACATCTAGAGGTGTTAAGCCACAGTTTTTGTTTTAATACGTGTTTTAGGTTAGTTAAAGTAGATCTGCTGCAAAAAATGTAAAAATGAATAGCCCAGTAATAGCAAACATAAAATAAGCAGCTATTGCTGTTATACTCGCCTTCACTTCATACAGGGCTATTCACTAACCGGCGAAGAGTTTGGAGGAAGCAGGAAAAGGAAACAATCTAGGACAACATCGCTGAACTGGAAAGTGAGCTGAATTGGAGAATTTTTCTAATCAGCTATGTTGTCCTAGATTATTCACTTCTCCTGCCTTCTCCAAACTCTTCATCCTTTTGTGAATAACCATGATAGTTGACCCATTCAGTTAGTCCCTTCCGCCACTAGATATCACCAGTCTTCTGGGTTGAATGTTGGACAGCATCATTCAACCCACTTTCTTTGACCCCAGACTGTAATGTAACTCAAACAAATACGATCACACATCACTGTTCTTCTCTGAAAACAATTCATTCCACCTTCTCATCCAGCATACAGTGTCATAGCATCTGTGCTTCTACTGTCACCCACCTTTAACACATTTCACCCATTTGGGCTTATTCATAGAGATCATGTTTGTTTGAGAAACATGGGAGAAGCAAAGATGGGCTTGTGATCGGCACGCGGTGAGGTCCCAGGTGAGGGATAATGGAGGATGTGAGCTGTGATCTGCATTGTTAATATCACACACACAGACTGTCATGGACATGTTCCCTGGGGGGGCATCATTACGTAGCCTGGGCTCAGAGTAGTACTGCATTGAATGGGGCTTACAAATTATTAAATAAGTAAAGCTGGCCATACATCTATAGATTATCTGCAGATTTTCTATGGTCAGATGGAAAAAGTACAACAGATTCCCCCATCTACGCTAAACTGTGTGGATAGAGGAATCTCCCACTGGGCCAAGCTTCAGTATCTTGCTAGTCGGCCCCGCTAGCTCTCAAAATACCTGAACAATCTGATTGGATGCAGGCACTGTTCAGGTATTTGAGAGCCAGCGGGGCTGACTCCCAGTGGGAGATTCCTCCATCCACACCGTTTAGGATAGATGGAGGAATCTGTTGCACTTTTTCTATCTGATCATTAAAAGTCTGCAGATAATCTATAGGTGTATGACCAGCTTAAGGAGAAGAAAGAGTACCCGTGACATCAATGAACCGGCCAGAGGACCCTTAAAAAACTAAACAGTGGGACTCTTGGTGCAAGGGGTAAGGGGCACAGTAAATGATCTGTTTATAACCCCTCCCGGAGGATGTGATATCATTTTTGTTTTCAATTAAAATGGGTCTATATTATGTGGCCGTGTTTCATGTCGCAAACACAGTTCTTAGTGATGAACAAAGAGGATTAGTTGTTTTTTTTTCTGTTGACCACTTGAAAAATGTGGATGCACATAAGGTCAAAAGTCTCTGTAGCTAGTAAAGCTTCGCAATACACTTCTTGCCCAAGCTGCTACACTGTTTATCTGTTTTGTCTTACTAAGGTTTGCCCAGGTTGTGACATGTTGATCTGGTTACAGCTGTAAGGAGCTCAACAACATTTCCACATTCTATGTGCATTTAATGGTTTTTTTTTAATGCATGTGCACATGCTTTTACCTGTAAAAGCCTTCCTTGTGTAGACATCCAAAATACCTAAGACTGCTAACAGACACCACCATCTTGGATGTGATGTCAGCAGTCCCCAGCAGCATAGGTGGGAACCTGCCAGAAATGGCTCGGCAATACCAGAATTTGGATCTAGTTGTTCGGTCATTAAACATTCATTGTAACGTGGAATTGTTATATATCAGGAATTCCTATTTCAGAGATATGAACAAAGCGCAGTGTGCATGAAATCATTTCTCTGTCACGCATACTGCGCCCTGCATTCAGGGAGGTGGAGGGCTGGCCGGAACATGGGAGATAAGTGTACGTATGGCTAAGGCACCCTCAACATAGTTGGATGCCACTGCTGCCACTAGAATTTCCCACTAGCAGAAAGACCAGGGCAATGATGGAGACCAGCCATGCCACCAGTAGGATAAATGTGTGTATACAGTATGTGTGTGTATGCAGAGTGCATGTATGTATATGCAGTCACTATCACTAAAATGGTGTGTAGAACTGGCTCCCAACTATTTACCATTCCAGCAACAGTGCTTTTGGCTCCCACCTACGGCACCATTAGTGTCACTAGTATACGGGATAGATGGCAGTCAGGTGCACTGTGTTACTGGAATGATGGATAGGTGGAAGCCTGGTGCATTGTCAGTGTCATTGGAATGGTGTACATACAGTGTACCTGGATCCCACCTATCAACTGTAGACTATGGACCCATCACTTAAATCCCTCCCACTTTTAAGTACAACTTGGACACATCCACCACAGCTCCGCCTACCACCCCACCCATAATCTCAATAATTACAATTTCTAAAAGTGCCCAGCAGACTCAGGGATGTCACTCACTTGAGCCAGCACAGACATTGATTAGACACTACCAGAAGAAGAGAAGGCTATGACGTAGTAGGAGAGAGTGAAAAATGTGCCTGTACTAGGAATTTCGACTCTTACTGAAGCATTCGAATTTCTCAGAAAGGCACATTGCAAGTGCATAAACAATTATTTACCGAAAAGAAAAACACTACAAGTAACCATTAGAATACTTGATTTTTCTGTGCTTTTACCTGCAAATATTTAAGTTGGTTATAGGGGCTCTTGCGATATATTCACTATTGTGTTTAACTTTCAGGCAGCTACAAAATGCCTGTCTATTTCACTCACCAGATCATAGGAGGACTGCACCTAGGATAAAAACCTGAACATCAGGTCATGCTCACTTTTTTTTATTGTAAGCTTCATCAATGTTTACCCTGTCTGTGCTAAAGGTTAGAGTAGAGTTTCAGCATAGGAGGAAGTTTAAATCAGTAAAAATAACATAATAAAAATGAATAGACCTGTTTTATTCCTTTGCTACTGACGTTTGCCTCAGGCGATAACCTCACTGAGGTTGAGCCCGAAAAAAATTGGTTGGCCTCATGAAAGGCATGGCTCTGGCTACCATGTTTAAAACGTTCACATGTAAAAGGTGCCTGCTTGCATCTTTATGAACACTCTAGGGTCCCAAAAATCCAGGGATTAATTAATGCAGATCGTAGTTCCAGCTTGGAAGGTTGAGCTATAGTTCCCGCCTCTCAGACTACATTATTGCTCAGTGAGGCTATCTATTAAACTATGGAACTGCTAGTGGGGTGTCTTTATAGAGCTGGCTTTGTGCACAGGGGCACCAGCATGATGGGTCAGAAAAATGTTGGAAGCACATACTGTAACTAAAATGCTAAAATGTCTTGTATGCTGCAGAATCAACGTTACCCTTCACTGAAAACATTTGAACTCAATCATTCGGAAGAGTGTCCACATACTTTTTCCCCGTATAGTGTACTTGCAGGTTCCTCGATATGCCAGCTTTTCCATCATGATAGCATGGTATACTTTGTGAAAAAGGAAAGGTTTACTTAAACTGTTTATCTATATATCAGAATATTTAAATAACTATATTTCCTACATTGCAACTAATAACATGCATTTTACTTCTTCCAGAGCCATAATGATTTTGGCTTCTCTCAACCAGAAGGTCATAATAATATTCCTGTTGCTTTTTATGCTGCTTTCCTTCTTCTGGAGTCGTGTGGATGTAAGAGCAAGACACTTAATATGTGCAGAAAAGATGGTGACACAGGAAAATATCACCCAGAATATAAAAGAGAAAGAGATAATTCCCCAGCAAAAGAAAGAGAAAGAGGTTCTAATCCTGATTTGGCACTGGCCTTGGGGATACACCTTCCCATTAGATAGATGCTACCAAGATTTCGGTATCCCAGGCTGCAAGATGACGACAGACAGGAGTCTATACAGTGTTGCCGATGGTGTGATCATTCATCATGTGGAAATAATGTATAACAAAAACCTATTGCCTCAACAACCACGACCTATTTTCCAATATTGGGTGTGGGCCAATGTGGAGCCACCACTGATTATTAAAAACTTGGATATGTTGGACAACGTATTTAACATGACTATGACGTTCCGTCAGGATTCAGATGTTTTTGTCCCATATGGTCAGATTGAAACCCTAAAGGAACCACAAAACTTTACCATGCCGAAAAAATCCAAACTAGTGGCTTGGGTAGTCAGCAAGTGGTATCCAGGTGTCCGAAGGATTTCCTATTATGAGGAGCTAAAAACATATATTTCTGTTGATGTTTATGGGTCAAAACACAAAAAGCTCATCTGGGAAGATTTCCATTCTACATTATCTCAGTACAAATTTTACTTGGCCTTTGAAAACTCTGAATACAAGGATTACATCACTGAGAAGTTGTGGTCAAATGCTTTTGGCACCTGGGCCGTGCCAGTTGTGTTGGGAACTTCAAGGGAAAACTATGAACGTTTTGTTCCCGGCGATGCCTTCATTCATGTGGATGACTTTCCAAACGCTAAGGAGCTGGCTGCCTACCTTCTTGAGTTAGACAAAGATGATGTGAAGTACCGCAAGTATTTCAATTGGAGATCTCACTACCGTGTAAATTTATTGACCGGATGGCAATATAGATACTGCCAAGCTTGTGAACCAATAAGAAAAGCACCTAGATACCAGGTCATTCACAGTTTGGCCAAATGGTTTACAAAGGAAGTCTGAAGGTATTTGTTGGGTCTAGTACGTAACAGTAGTAAGCAGGGCATAGATAGATAGATAGATAGATAGATAGATAGATAGATAGATAGATAGATAGATAGATAGATAGATAGATAGATAGATAGATAGATAGATACTTTATTTTACTACTTTCAGTACCAAAAAAAAGTTTATTTTTGTTTACACATGAAAATTGACACTACTGCACGACTACAGGGATATAGTATATAATTATGGAGCACTGAGTGAATTCTTTAGCAGCTGTTGTGCTAAACAAAGTCATACTCCAGCACAGACAGCAATGTTTTAACAAGTGGATTAACACAATCTACCAGAGTGCCCAGAAGCCTTGTCGGGCTTACTTATTAGAAAGCCTGGCATGTTTTGCAAACAATATGTCATGCACACTCTGTAGTAGTAGTTTGATTTGTGAAAAGATTTTATACAAATTAAAAATTGAACTTTTATGTTATCAGTTTAACATGCTATGTATTTCTATATGCCCATCATTTAATATAGTTACAAAGTTGCAGTTTTTGAGGTTGAATAAAAACACAGGTACCGTATATACTCGAGTATAAGCCGTCGCGAATATAAGCCGAGGTACCTAATTTTACCACAAAAAACTGGGACTCTCAATCAGTGATGGAGAGTTTGGGATTCGCGCATCATGTGCCGTATAACTTGAAATATATAAATATATTAAAGGAATAGCAGTGAAGTTATTTAAGGCATAGCCACGTGTATCATCAAGCAGTAGCGTAATTAATCCGGAGAGGCTACTTGCAATAAACAGCGATAGGGAAGCATGGGCATTCCACTACAGTCCAAGCTAGTGCGGTAGGCCAACAATATATCAGACAATGAATGGTGGTATGCAATAGTTAGGTAGTATATGCACAATAAAGGAGTCTATACCCCACACCCCACAGCACGGTCTCAAAAAGCAAGCATAGTAGAAGCTAGTTATTTAGGCAGTCCTTGTACAGCAGATACTGATATCCCAAAACCCATAAATAGGTTCTATGTAGTGCAATACATTAAGATTCAAATTGGGGTAATCCAGAGTACTTGCGCTTTTGGTGTGCTGACTTCCTTGATCCAAGATCTCCCTTATGGGAGGTAGTAGGCGTCCTTCCTAGGCGCGCTGTATGTGGGGTCAGTAGGGCAGCAGGTTCCTGGCGTTCTTAGGGCGTCATCGTCTTCTCCCTGCAGGTTTAAATAGCCAGCGGATGTGGACGTGACGTCACGCGGCCGCGGGGCACTTGCACGTTCCAGCCTGGAGCGCATGATACCTCCCCCAATAGGGGAGGCGGAAACCAATCAGCTTCTCTCGTTCATTTTCAAATCTTAATTGAATAGACTGAAGAGAGAAACTGATTGGTTGCAATGCACAGCTGCTCCAGATTTTGTCTGCTCCATTTTTGATAAATTCGCCTCACAGTGTCAGGATGGAGAGCCGACCGGGGTATGTCGGTTACGAAATATACAAAATTCACACAGGGGGTTCCTCTGTCAGCACTCTTTCGTCCGGTTTCCCTCGATCAGCTGATCGCAGGAGTCGGTCAAATTTTTTTTGAACAAACAGAGCCGGGTCAGAGTACAATGAAGACAGCGGGAGATTCCTCGATCAGCATTGATGGAGAAATCTGTTATATTTTGTTAGTTCAATATTACAGGGTACAGGCAGCTTTACTCTCCTCCTGCTTGCAGATCACCAATCAGAGATCCATGGTGTCCACACTGCTCCTGGCTTCCCCACAGCTCCCAACATCCTTAGAAACCATACCTGTGAGCCTGTGGAGCAGCGGCACACCCCCTCTCCACAGTTGTCAATGTTCAGACTCAGCTGTCTTATCTCAGCTTCCACTAGCCCTGCTCTGTCACCTTGTACCCAGCTGCACTTCCAGCCCTACAGTTTGCCCAAGCGTCCAGAATCCACCAAAGCCTCACAAACACACTGTCTACCTTATACTGTATATTCTCTTTTTAGGATCCTAATTTAATTAAAAAAAGATGAATTGGCTACTGTATTCTCCTGACTTGATCATCCCTACACGTGCAGCTCACTCTATAGGACCTAAAGGCTTTTTACTACTTTAGAAATTTCTGCCCATCTGATTCTCCATATTAAGATTTTATTTTTACACTGGTTATCACAATAATTCTGGTTGTCATAGTGACGCAGTGGTACCACAGTCAGGAAATCATTGTGTATTGCTAGATTTAGGGTTGCACAGATACCAAGTACATTACTCGGTACAAGTACGAGTACATGTACCGATACTTTTGAGCTCCTGCACTAGAGAAAAATTCAAAAACTAGGAGGCAGCTGTCATTTGTAAGAAACACACGGAGCTCCTGGGATTTGTACATCTCTGTTTTAATGTGCGATTTTGTTTTAATAAATATAAATAAAGGGATGCACCGATACCAGTTTTGCGAGTACGAGTACTGGTACTTGCCGAGTACTTACAAGTACAAGTACTGATACATTTTTGTTTATTGTCATGTGACAGTTTTTCTAAAACAATACAGACTAATGATTTCAGGACAGTGGTGGAGAGCCAGAGCCAGGTCCCAGCTGCAACCGCTGCAACACTGGTAGTTCTCATGAAAATGCCAAGTATCGCCACTGGTACTCGAAAAGTATCTGTGCATCCCTAGCTAGATTAATATCTAAACTTTTTATTAAGTTGTTATTGGATTGCACTAAAGCCAGGAATAGAATTCACAGAACAGTCTGCCTACTACAGAGAAATATGCCTATAGAGAAATAAAACTAGCTGAGTCTGCTCTGAACTATCAGATCAATTATATATTAAAGGAAAATGGGCCAGGAAGGGCATGGCAGTCTGTTTTGAGTAGGCTTGGGGAAACTCAGGCAGAGTGGGTTTGCACCAAGCCCAGGCTTATCTCTACTCTCCACCCACAGGATATTACCGCATGGTAAAGCTGGCTATAGCATAACCAGACAAGACTACAGGAGTACCTACATTTCACCCATGTAAACAGGACTGAGCAATGCCCTCAACGCCATCTTGCTACAATGAAAGAGCCCTCAACTTCTTACTATTAGGACATATATGATAATAATCAATGAGGTCTTCCCAAAGTATAAATTCATTTATGAGGCTAGGACATGCCCTCATAAATTTAACAAGCTATGGGAATCCTGGCTGGGTGTCAATGCCTCTGCTGTTTAACTTTAACTATCATGATTGATGGGAATATATCTGTATACCCTCTGGCCATGTTATATCCTCTTGTCAAATTAAACCAAGTGTAGCTCTACTACCAAAAACAAACAAAGACAATATATAAACCAATTATTAATTAAGTTAACAAATAGCTACATCAACCATATACATAATATCCTCCAGCTTTTAAGTGATATAAGAGAAAGTCCTTGTGAAATACTTCTGTAATGTGCAAATAGTCTTTCAATGTGAAGAGGTGATATATAAACGGGAAGTGAATATGTTTGCCATGTGGGTAAAATATCACATAACCTCCAGCATTCTCAGAGGCATCCCCAAGCCATGTGTCACCCGGTGCAGCCACCAGGTGTCACCCTCTGGGACGTCATTACGCGTGTGCACCCCACCTCCCCTGCAACCTCATTGTGATGCCACTGACCACTTGCCCCTTGCTTTATGGTCAGACCTCATAGTTTAGTTAAGGTCTAGATGAGCTCTTTTCCCTTTCGCAGGTAAAGGATGGGTTGTTATGCCTCTTGTGGAATAATCCTTCATCCAAAATAATGCTCACATGAATAAGATATACAACAAATCACTAGTGCTCTCTGTGTTTACAATTACAAATATAACAAAATGGCCACTCACATGAAATACTATGCCACTATTTACGTATTTAATACTTTGCCTTCTGACAAAAAAAAACACTATCAAATCCGTTTGACAGCTGTTTCCATTGACTTCACTTCTTCAGGGGTACCATCTTGTACCATCTTGCGTCTGATGTTTCGTTTATGGAATGGGGAGAGAGGGGTTGGCTGCAAGTATGTATGTTGAGTATCTGTCCTTGTTCATATTTGCAACCTGCGTGTTGCATATGTTTACATTTTCTGTTTGTATTGTAAGATGAAAATGCCAAATTACAAAAATAAACAACTCTTGACTGATGGATTCGTCAATTTTTGTCCCTCTGTTAAAAAAAAACAATAAACACACTGACTGCACGACATGGATTTTAACGGCCACTGCAGCCCTTTTATTAACCAAACAGTTTTATCAATAACCAAAAGTAATAAACCAAATAATATACACAAATAACACTGTAAACAATGGTTGACAGACTATTCCACTAGTCTCCCCAGGTCTGTCTTTAGAAAAAAAAAAAAAACAGGTCTCAGCCATTATAGTCACCCAATACAGCCAGCACTGAAACAATCAGTGCCAAGAACTGAATGGAAACTTTTCAAGGTCCCATAAGGACTTGAACAGTAAGGTGGCTTACTAAAACTTCATGTTTGATAAGAAGATGAACTTCATTTCTCATTATTAAGCAATTGGCAATTCATCACCAGGGGCCATTCAATGTGTAAGTTCAGCACGCCAACTCCCCCTATTAACACAGTTCATCTCCAGTGCTTTACCATTATAACAGACTGCAACTCCACTATTTGCAATGATTAGAGGAGCAGATTTTTCAAACTGAAGCTCCCTTGTGTCATGCTTAAAGCAGAACTCTGGGAAAAAAAGTATAATTTACACACTGGGTGTGTACATTGTCACTAACCAGCCTTATGTTATGAGTGGAGGGCCCCTGCATAGTATACATGCAGCATGCCAGCTCTTACACATGATGATGGTTTTCCAGGCTCTGCATAGAGAGTGAGGGATGTAACTTCAGTGAAGAGGTTCAGTCACCTCCCCCACCCCTCCTCACTACTTTCCCATTCACAAAATCCTTGTATTTTTCTCAAAGAATACAATTTCTGTGATTGGAGGAGGTGAGATGATGTCACATTCCCGTCCCCT